CATTTTTAACGTTCATTCAACAACAAACAATAAGATGATAATGTATTATATTTATCCGTGGTGTACTTATAAATGTACCTGATTTCACAGGATTTTACAGATATCATTATTATTAAACATTTGTTTCTTGACACCCAATTAAAATACAACGTGCAATATATTTAAAAGAATTATATATGCTCCTGAAGATTATCTAACATATATCTATTTAAGGCTTTACAAATCAAGCACTAGAGTATTAGTTTTGGTTTACACAGCTTAATTGAAGCATTTAGTAATATAATGCTTCATTGTAGCCCTGGCATGCACAGTAATCAATCAATTATATCATGTGTTTCGTTACAGCAATATTTACCATGAAGGGAGAAAATTTAGTTTGGCATAACCTGGATTTATAACTAATGAATGTAATATGATTCGAATTTATTGTTATGCTATTTTATTACCAGACTGTGGTAATCATATTGACTTACAAAACTACAGTAATGGACAAGAGCATCTAACAAAAGGAAAAAAATATATGAATGTCTACTTGTTAGAAAAATATTTATTTTAAAATGTGGTGGTGATATGAAATGTTCGTTTTGTTATTTATAAATAATAGTAGAATGTTAGTGTGTTTGTGGAAAGATTAGTTTAAAAGTATAATAACACATTTTACGCTTTTCCTGTTGAGTTGAATGCCCGACATTTGCGAAAGCTGAACAATAAACCTTTACTTCAAAGTGCAAACGTAATATCCTCATCCATGAGATGAATATTATTTTTATTTTGCCAAAGATTATTCATGGTTCAAGTTTATGACGTCTTCGTGGTGTTCTAGATTAATGTTCACTGGTTCATTGAATTTTACCAATGTCATCAGTCCAAGAATATCAAGTCTACAGAATATACTTTGCATGTCGTCATATCAGGCTTCTACATTGTTTATATAAGGTATACTTAAACTATATATGTTTTATGATATTTTAATCGTATCAAACAACCGAGTTACTAGAGTAGAAATGAGACGAATCATAGACATAGTTTAACTCAGGGTTCTATCTATTCTATAGCCTGTAACCTATAAAAAATGTTTTTAAATATTACTAAAACCCTATTAGAATTTAATATCAAGTACTATACAAACATCATAAAACGTTTCATAATCTTTGGAAAATATTGATTAAAATCTAAAAAAATCGTGTCCAAGGAATATGTTTACACTTTTTACCTTATCTTGCTTTGTTGCAATGTGCTTTATATTGTTGTAAACGTGCTTTTTACATAGCATGAATACAGCTGTAAACATTATATTCTTGAACTATTCAGAACAGTTTTAATAGAGCAATTCAAAAATATATTTTTTTTACAATTGTGAAATATTTATAATAAAAATAAACCGAGCAGTCTATTCTCAGTCTATTGGGAGTTGTATTCTTAAATATATTTTCACTTGTCTTGATTTTCAACGATCTTGTACAAACTTAAATATAAAGTAAATAGTTTTCTTACATCATACATTTGACCACTTTCGGTTACAAAAATATGTACCATTTTACAAAAGGAATCCATTACTAATATTAGTCCTGTGCCAGTAACACCAGTAGATGGGAATATTATTGTGTTTGAGGCACATGTCTTAGTAATCACCTTAACATGATGATATACCTACCCTTTGGACGTATTGACACTGTCACTAATTAGTGATATTAGTCGTGAGTGTACACTACAGCTTTATTAAATAAGCATTTACAGTTTTTCAGTTATTTACCATTGTTCAATATATTAAAAGTCACGATATTAACTAATATTGATGTTCATTGTTTGAAATTTTATTTTATTTTTATCTTATTTTGAATGTTTCCCTTAAGAATTATAAAAAAAATATGTCAAACTATATCCCTTTATGCAAAAGGTAGTATTTATTGACTAATTATTTATGATTCGCTAATTCTAATACCCTCTTAGAGTATTACTTCCTGTTGACCTTAAAAGTTAACTGGATTACATGCAGATAAACTGGTTATGATTTAATAATCTTTGTTGATTATTAACGGCCCGCACTGACGTATAGACCCAACCTGCATTTATAAGGTTGATTTGTTAGTGAAATGATTCAGGAAACACTTTTAATCGAGTCGTATACCAATTCAATGTTGGCACCGTTGTGATGTTGAGGTGTTTTAAGTACGTGGAAAAACATGAACTAAGTCACAATTGCAAACGCGGATCCTGCAGGCCTTGTAGAAATATTTAAGAAATGTAGGTTGAAGGAAATAGGCATGTTCATTACAGACGATATAGTAAGTTCTGACTCTAAGGTAATAAAACTATGTTTTATGTAGAGTTAAACTAGAAAGTTAGATTTTTTCTATTATTATAATTTTACAAAATTTTTCAATATATTCTACGAATTTTTAATTTGTTCGACTAAGTTAATATTTAGTTCAAAGGATAATAAATATACCTTACATTTAGCTTATTGAAGAAACATTTTGTTTAACATATGCATTTTTCAATGCAGGATTTTTCTGTTATTCAACATACAGCGACATTACAAAATCATGACGTGTCCTAATAAAATACCTCTCCTTGAAATAAACCTTTAACGTTTTCCAAACTTTCAAAATGCATTTGGTGACGTCAGAGTTCACTAACGCGAGCAACAAAATAAGAGCGTTTAACAAAATATCTCAATCATTCACTGACACAATTAAAGAAAAGAACACAATGCTCCATAGAAATATAAATATACATTTGCACAAGCCATATTCACGAGGGCGTTGTCCGGCGACGCCTGGCCAAAGGCCATTGCGATTATCTACAATTGGATGTTTGATTACCACTTGTTTTACTTGCTGCAATTATCTTCCATTACTTCAGTAGCAATTACTTCAGTAGCAATCACTTCAGTAGTCTTTGCTTTCCCAATCAGTGCTGGTCTGTAATCTGCGCTGTCTCAGATTCAATTTGAATACAGACCCGCCCACGCTAATATCATGTAATCTCAGCTGATTCTCTTGCTTCTGATTGGTTCAGATTTGAATACATCAAGATTAATATTTTTTAATTGTTTATATAGGTGTATTATGGTAAATGGACAATGACATATTTAAATGGAGCGTAAGGCATCTTTGAGAGGCATACCGTTTCGGGGTGGTTGTAAATATGGAAAACGAAATGTATTGAAAATTAATAAACTCTATCAGTTGCCTTTTTTTGTTGAATCTATGTCTTGTTGGAGTACTTTATTCCTCATCCCAATTATAAAGCTGATTAATCACTTGTTGACTGACGTTTTTGTAAACAAAATAGTCATCAATTGACCACATGACATCAAAACGGTGACGGGTTATTTGACTACTGTTACAGATTTAATACTGTAACAAATAATTTAACTATGGTTAAGACGTATTAGTAGTTTTGATACTATGAATAATGAACCTTTGAAAAGCTAATACCTATCAAAAAACCTTTTGGAAAATTTCGTCGTTGTAAACATTACACAAGTCAAAAGGGAAAACGTGCCTATCCTCTACGTGTTAAAGAGTATTATTTTGATTGGAGAGTCCAAAGATGATAACATTTAGTGTTGCATCGCTCATACATTTTTATCCTATACTATACAGTTTTGGTTTAAGTGAGGATACATTTTTTAAGATTATTAAAGCTTATATTTAAAATTCATGTTCTCAAAGTAGTTCCTAATAGAATTCCACCAGATTCGGTCTATAGTTCAGCTTTTTGTACTGTCAGGGTAGAAATGGTCCAGAGTAGAATCGAAAATATACATTTACAGAATGGTTTTGAGTCAAAACAAGCCAGAGAGTTATTATTCTCACAAAAATTTTCAAATGTTTACCCATAACTGCAATGTATCCGAGTGGTAGTTGTTTGTTTGCCACATTGATATCGCGAACACGTAAATAAACAGCAGAGAGCTGGCGTATAAATAAACAGAATACACCACTCGTATATGCGACCCTGCACTGACTTATAGGTTCATGTACGATTGGTTACCGAACTTTTCACCACGAGTGGGTTTTTATTATTATTCCTACAGTTACCTGTAAAACAGGCTTGCACTGATTATAGAACACAAAGTAGCTAATTGCTGCATTAACTTACTTTAGCCACACTAAATTTACTTTGTCACAATTTGTGTGCCAACCATTCCTACCAAACAACACAAAACAGTGTGCTTTTATTAGGCACGTAATACGTGTACGATTGAAAATAAATTGGCAACACTAGATACTACGACTACGCTCAGCTGGTGCGGCGTTTCTCATTTCGTTCAACGTTTGGATTTAACATAACCTAAAACGTGTTGTACAGTGTTTGAACGAGTAATTATTTATCTGCTTTATAGGGACTGTAGAAAAAATATAATGTGTAACGTGAGCGCAAAGTTTCTTGGCTGCACTAGAAAAGCTTTCCACACTCGCCAGCAAAGTGCTACTTCGTGCTCTAATTACACAAATAACTATTGTCAGCCTGTACTAAGTAAATGTTTGCATTTTGTTAGTTAATTTATCTACTTGATTGTTGTGTACTTGTTCTACTTTGATAACAAACGTTGGTTTACTGGTAAACCAGCCACGTACCAGTGCTTCTAGCTGGGCTTCTGGCCATGGTTGGGGTTCGGGTTCAAATACTGTTAAATCAGTACTGCATTTTTAGCCATCCGATTATGTCGAGACCCTATAGGCCTAGCCTGAAGTAATGTGGAAAACTGTTCCAGGTCAAAGCCTTTTCTCCCAGGGAATGTGAAGGTGGGAACAACTGTATCGGTACTAAATAATAAATTAACATCATAGGCTTATATATATTTAATTGGCTTAAATATCAAATTCCGCCCCTAGTCTCACAGCCGTATTAAGTGTTCCACCGAGTTCCAGTCGGTTTCCTTCCCTCATTCTCTTTCATCCCCCGAATTAATCCACGCCACTTTGGCTACACCCTGTCCACTTCTACTCCAATGCTCTACAACGTCTAACAATTCCTTTTTGTTTCAGGTCCCCCAGGACCTCCTGGAAAACGAGGGAAGAGGGGCAAAAAGGGTGACCCGGGAGAACCGGGACCATCGGTAAGTCTAATAGTTGGTTAGCTTAGAGTTTGTGTTTGGTTTCTGAGGTGTACGTTTGCGACTCTTTGTAGCTGTTTGGTTCTAAATCGAAAGCAGTATTTTTGTTTGGACAGTTTTTAATTAGCTGTGTTAAAGATACTGCACAGCATAGTTAACGGATGTATTTCAATTCATAAATGGTTTTCAACTCATGATCGGTTATATATTCAAGTACAAATGAGATTTCTTGATTGTTTCCTAACTTTTACCAGACGAATTCTTCGTTGTTCTCTTAACTGAAAACATTTAATGAAACAGAGGAGGACATTGGGGAGTCTAAGGCATTAGAACCACTCCAAAATGATATCAATATCCGGACACAAATATCAATAACAAAGCAAGGCCCAACTGTCATTCCTATCCAATGCAATCCCAGCATCCATTAATCAACAAGATCGATCTTCCAAAATATTTCCGAATCTCCTTCGGTTGCAGCCACAATAGTGGCAAGAGAGTTTGATTAATCATTTAATTTATTGAGTGTTCGAATAAATTTTTTGTGTTAGATTTTGATTTTGAGTTATTTGGAATAAATAAACGAAAGTTTTTTGAGCCTTTGGTTCTTACACAGTAGTCCTTGAAATGGTTTTTGCTTACTGTACCATTTTAACCTCCATATTATTGAGTGCTTCAAAAATATAAATTTCATAGAATATGAAGTGTGTTGAAAACAATGACCTTTTCAGTTTAGATAGTAGTTTTTTTTTTTTTTTTTTTTTTTTTTTTTTTTGTTACTAAACCATGTAAAAATAATATAACAAAAACAGTAAAGATATGTTAGAAATAAAAAAAAAAAATTGAACATCCTGTGCAATGGGTTCGTCCATTCGTATTATCCATTCGTCCATTTATTCTATATCATAACAAGTCTATAATAAGTGACTTTATCAGACAATACAACAAAATATTTGAACAAAAAATGAGAAAATATCGTGTGAAAATAACAAAATTACTGTTTTGTGAGTAACAATGGATTTTTGATTATTTTATGTATTTTGTACCAAATAAATGCACAGAACAATAACTACACTGAAATAATAACTATAAAAAACTCAAATTACATTATAATTTACCTTTATATTACTACATACGACGTTTACGTAACTGTAATTCTGTATATTTATGTTTTTATTATTTTGATTTAGGTTGTTCTATTTATTCATACTTTTATTTCTTCCTTTATTATTTTATTATGATTTCATTTATTTTGACATATTGTTTATTTATTTCTTTTCAGGGTCCATTGGGTCCTCCTGGCAAGAATGGCTTTCCGGTATTTAACTTTTATTTATCTTATATTTTACTTATTTTTAAGTTTATATTCATAAGCTTCAAATTTTCTGTGTCTGTTTCTTTCAGAATTGCATTATAAATAAGTTTGGTTATCAAGATAGGTAATCAAAAATTACTTTTTCGCTAGGCTATGCAAGATCTTTGAAAATAGTACTCTTATGCGTTTTACAGTATAGTAGCAAAACTTGTTTAATATAAAAACGTCTAAAACTTTAACAGTTATCTACATGCATTACAGTTTTAATCGGTTTCGTCTACAATTTCAACAGACATAAACTACCTATCTAGGTCTAAAAGCTCCGATATCGACTGAGCCATCGTAGCTAATATTTTAATATTAGACAATGTTAACTTTAATTCTCAAACTCATATTAAATAATTTTATCAGTAATAATATTCAACTTCCTTCTATCCTACTACTAAAATATGAGAACATTTTTCTTTCGTATTACAAATCTCTGCTGTCCCATTTCGTACTCATATTCATCGATCGTTTCACTCGCCCATTCTCACTTTGCGCCAAAGTTTGAATCCCGATTTGTTTTTTCAGGGCCAAAAAGGCGCCAAAGGGGACCGAGGCTACATGGTAAGACTTTCGAAGCCTCACTAACCCGGGTCCCGCATTTTTACTTCATCTAGATTAGTTGGTTTCACTAATTCTAGATTTTAAATAAATGTTGCCTGTGAGGTGACGGAGTCTTTACGTTTGTCTTGGGTTTTTATCTTATTTCTGTTCTGATTCTAACTATATAACTAACTACCAGTAACCCTTTTCGGTGTTGTGTGAGTAGTCTGTAGTTATAGCACTAATTGTTTGTTTCAAAAGTTTATATTCTGTTATGACCATTTATTTGTTTTTTTATTTCCTTGTTTTTTCACTATTTTTTTTTTCTTCCTATGCTATTATATGATTGATAATATAGATAGAATTTATAGTCGACGTTTTGTACATAATTGTATTGACACAAATAATAGCGTTTCACAGATAGCCATTAGAGATAAAGGTAAGTAATAATTATATATATTGTGAATTTTTAAATTATCAGTTGTTTTCAACTAAGTTCACTTCTTTTAAACTCTTTACTTTTGTAATTTTAACTGTTAAAATTTTCTATTTAAAGTAGTAAGTGGTAGTTGTTTAACTAGTCTGAAAAATCAACGCCAACTGTATTTAGGCGTGAAAATGTATTAATGATATATAACTTGTAATATAAATTCATGCAGGTTTAGTGAAATCAACCAACGAACTACTACTATGTGATACCAGATTACTATTGAACTAATATTGAGTTCATCTGCAACAGTGAACAGTAATTCTGTTTGAAATTATCTCTAAAGTGTATTTCCACCAAGTGATACCAGAATGAAGTGAAATTACTTTACCTCGGCTGTGTAAAGAAGCAATCTTCTTCCTGCGATATTGAAGCGTTTAACTTATCGCGTTGGAAGATTTAAAACTAACAGAGGCAATATGAGAACAGCGTTAAGTCAGTTTTCTGCCAGGGGCGACACCTTATTGTGTTTATACGGTTCTGATTATCTTTTTATAGTCTCCTCCTATTATGTTGGAGATACACTTAGATTTGCTTATATTGTGTACAGTTTTGTAAAATTATATTTTGAAAGTTTGAATGAGTAATGAAAAAGTTAAATTTAGTAAAAATTACTCGTCAAGAAACCAACTATATTACTGCCAGCGATTTGTTTTAAAGGGTAAACTCTGAATGCCTTGTGGATTTAGTAGGTAGTTTTTTTTATTTATTTAAGTTTAACAGCCTATAGGGATTTCATACATCTGAACTTCGTTATTTAATTTATCAACGAAATATTAAAAGTGATATATAATTATAAACTTACATTTAACTTATTTTTGTACAAATATTATATGGTATTGTGGTAAATCTTAAAAAGTTATGTGTTTCTTAAACTTTATTGAAATACTAGAAATATTGGTAAAGTACCAGATTATTAGAATGTGGGTTGAAGAACTTAAAACTATTGCTCAACTTTCTGTTGACAACATTCTTTATTTAACATTTCAAGAAAATATGATTAAACTTTAAAAACTATTTTCGGTGGTTTCTATAGCACGAATACAGTACTTATATTCAATAACCTACTTTGTTAAGGGTCTTAATAACTTTCCAAATACATGGCTGCGCGACTAGTTCCTCAAGCAAAAATAGCCACGAATAAAGATCGAAAACTTAAAAAATACCAACTCAGTTAATCGAAAGCAGAATGTTTTGATATCCGAAAATTGTGAATAGTGAAATATAGGGTTCAGTTAGTTGGAAATCACTGCAGGAATTTAAACTTAATAAAAAAATGAAATAAATAAATTATTTTTTTTACTAAAAAGTTTAATAGTAGATGGGATCAGCTTGAACGTAATGTAATTTTCACTCACAGTAAATACAGTGTCATTGTTGGTTTTATGTTAACTAAATATATATGCTGAATATGAAATCTTTTTTAAATCTATTTCTTACATACTTATACATAACACATACTTACAACTTCAATGAAATAAAAATATCATTTATTTCTGATTCCTCTTTAAAATAAACATAGAAAGACGTATAATAACTCTTATAAACAATATTTTTCTTCATTAAAACTAGGGTTCCCGGAAAGGTAATGCTCCCACGGTTGAAAATAACGTTTTATACACAATTCACGAAATCGTTTATATTTTTAAAGTGTCCAAATCAAATCTCTTATACTTTTATAACCGTACTTGTTTTTTTTTTATTTACATGTCTTAGAATTAATAGTATAAGATTCATAATTATTTATCTGTCAAATTTTAAACAAATTTCTCCATAGCTTTTCTTTTCTCCATAAGAATCAAATGGAAACTTAAAAGACCACTGGGACAGAGCCCTGATGAAATTTCTTGAAAACGCTTCTTATTGTACGAATAGAGCTTAGTTGGAACCTAAATTTTAATTCTTGAGTTATTATTGCTTGAAGAGTTTTAGATATAATGATCAATGAGTGAGGGAATAAATGGAATTTCATTTTATAAGTATAAAAGATTCCAATTAAATGAATTAAATTTAATTACAATTCAGCTGTTATTAAAATAATAAAGTGCCAAAATACTCGTTTGATTACAAATTCAATGGATTACAGAAAGTTTAATCCAACTGGCCAATGTGTAAAAGGCTACGATAAAAACAAAACCTGACATTTAATTATCAAAAGCTTTGTGCAATCGACCCTGGCCGCTAATGGACCAATTAATACGAAAGTTTGGAAGCTAAAAACAATAAAAAATAAGTACGCACATTTGTTCTGTTTCAACCCCTATCTTATGTTACAGAATTTTACCAAATATACAGTTTTAGATTTTTCTAAATACAGGCTATTAATATGCTTGTAACTTTAGGATATTTTGGACTTATTTTATATTTTATCTACTTTAAACATTTGACTGCTTACTATAGAATCTTAGCTATTTACTACAGTTCTTTAGCTCTAAACTTTAATTTTTAACCAATAATTGGATACGATTAGCCTGCATACTTATAAATCTATAACATTAAAATTTAATAAATTTAAAATAATGTACAAAATTAACAATTCATACAGAACCTACTCTGACCTCAAAACTATGAAACCTTGCATGATAGACTTATCACATTATTTAAGTAAATAATTGTTTTATAACTCATATACCTGTATGACTCACACTTATTTTCTTTCCAATACAAAAACAAGAAAGATAACGTTGCTATTAACCAGCAAACATATATTTTCAGAAAGGATGGGGAAATGAAATACTGGTTTAATTTACTCGTGGAACAGTAACTTGAGTATCTCATCATAGACTCGGAGCCAACGATTTCACTTGCCTTGAAGTGAAAATAAAAAATAGCATTCCCCGTAGAATACCCTGCTTATGTACCTGTAAAATTGCAAGTTTACGACTTAAAACATTCATTTAACAATACTGTATATTCTTCCTTCTTCTTCTACATTGTATCCCAATAAATAGTTTAAAAAAGCCATTAATGTTTGAAACTGCACCAAAGAACCAGTAAATCCCAAGCTGCAGAACTTCCATTACTACAAATAAATCCCAGGATTGGCTTCAGGTTTAAGTTATGTTTGATTGTTGATACAACTTAACTAAACTTGTTAATTAATACTCGTACAACTCAGTGCAGTATATTCATTAGTAACCTTTCGTTATTTAAATCGTTTTCTTGGTCAATTTACACAGCCATAGTTTTGTCTTATAACTGTAAACGCAGACTTTCAAAACAAAATGGGTAAAGAATATGAACCATATTTTAGGTGAAGAAAATACTTTGCCATAATGAATTTCTTTTACTTTGTGATACCAATTCCAAAGAACGAAATTAAATTGCATAAAAAAATATGAATACTAAACAATAAATATTATAATTCCCTCGTTTTAAACTATAAACTATCAAATTAGTACATCAATAACGCAAATATTGAAGTTTGTACATTTCTGTAGAAAATATTCAAAATATTACCCAATTTGGGTGGACTGATTTACTTCCAGGTGTCGAAATTGCTTCAGGAAACCTCAAACAAACATACCCAACAAGCATATTACCCAATTTGTCCATCAGCATTTGGTATAAATTTTGATTGCTTTAGAGCTTGTAACTATACATATTTCACTATGAAGTAATAGTTTGTGCTTCGATTTGCAAACCTATGAGTTAAAAACAGAAAGTATAAATTTGGCAACTAAGTTAATGTATATTGTTAACTCTGCCATCGAATAGGCCTATAAACAATTTGGTAAAAGAGTATACCCAAGTAACTGTTTTACTTGACTAAGTAATTCAATAAGGTCATTTCCTTTACTGATTCCAACCAATTAATAGCAGAAATTAATAAATATATGCTGCAGGTAAGTCTGATCAAGTATAAAGTAAAAGGAAAGCCTTCATTAAGGATAATTGAAAGGTGCTGCCGGCAGATTGAAATTTCTGTAACGAAGTGAACGATTTAAAGACCCTGTTGAGTGTTTAATTACTACAAGTCCTCAAGGCGAACGATAATTGTTCTGCTGAGATGTCGACGACGACAAAGAAGGCCGTGGCTGTAGGTGCAAAATTGTGTTGTCAAATATATCCAATTATTTTATGGTTTGATTTAGTAAAAATTTGTATAAACATTGCTTAAAAGACAATTAATTATTAGTAATAAAAACTATTAAAATCTCAATCCAGAGGTATCTAGTCCAACTATATATTCTACGTTTTTTTCCCGTTCAATCTAATATATAAAATTCTCGTGTCACAGTGTTTGTCTGCAAACTCCTCCGGAACGACTTCACCGATCGTTATGAAATTTGGTGTGTAAATTCTGTAGGTATGCGAATAGGAAGTAAACTATTTCCCGTTTCGAAATTCTTAAAAGGGCTCCGCCCCAGTGGCTCTGGAGTTTCCCATGTTAACCTTATGAGAAATGGAATTAATGAATCTTAACAGCTGTTTCAATTAAACAAGTTGGTTCTGTTCTATGATGTTCAATAGCATTAAAGTTACAAGGATTACCAACAGGGTGCAGCACTATTATTTCTTTTACATTTATGAC